ATTTTCAGATCATGTAAAAATGTCTTAAGCAAATGAAGGCTAATACTTTATGATGATATAGCCAAAAATATTAGAATGTTAGAAACGCATCTTACTGCTTAAAAACAGATTTCTATCTTTAAATATCATCTCAGATGTAAAAAATAAATTAGGAATATAAAAGTGTTACGAAAATCATAGATAATACACACAATACTTAAACTGAAAGAGAAGTTTTCAAACTGTGATCAGTAGGCTCTGGCCATTTATAGAATACTTGCTAGTTATTCAGATGAATTGCCTAGTCCTCTGTACTGTCTTCCCCACGTTATTAAACAACATTATTCTAACTTCTCCAGGAAATATATACATATATATATACATATATATATATATATACACACACACACACACTATAGTTGCTAAGGAGGTACCCTTACGATTACAGAGAGGTGCTCCGTACTTATGCGACTAAAAACACCAGGTACCGCATTTCATAAGATATTCTGTATGAAAGTCCACACTATAAAGTTTGAGAATATATGAGCTTTACTGCTGATTCCTTTCCCCTAATGACAACAATGAAGAAATTTCCAATTAAAAGGATGAGATGAAATTTCAAGCAAAAAGGAAAAAAAAAAAAGTCTTCAAATAGAGCAACCTATTATTCTTCTTATGGAAGGTTCTTTGTGCACTAAAATTCTACAGCAATATTTACACTCTCTATAAAAAATGAATATTGCTCTTCTAGCAACTTAAAAGCACGTGTTTTTACAATTAGACCTGGCTTTCTTTCCACTTTGGAAAACAGAAGGAGTAAGGAAGATAGAGAAATCATCCTGAAAAGAAGACTAAGAGAACTTGGGCACAATTGCAACGGAATAGGAAGGTCCTGAAGAGACCTAATAACAATCTTTCAGTGTTTTAACAGGTATAAGGAGGTGGCATTACTTGCCACGTCTCCCTTCCATATTAGGATCACAAGAAACTGGAGTGATTGCAGGTAAGGCGATAAATAAAGTTTTAGGAAAACATCCCTATAAGGCCAGTCTGTCATATAAACTATTAAGAGAAAGTGTTCAACCTTGTGCAAGGGGCAGTTTGGATAAGCATCTGCCAAGGATATTCTAGATACATTTCTCTAGCCAACACATAGAAGGCACAATCATGCAGTTGGAGTGCTTTCTGGCTCTACATTCATACAAACCTTGAATACAACCATATTGACAGGAAAATATTTGCAAATCCTATTTCCTGAATACAATATAGTCCCATATTTCCTTATCATGACAGGTCTGGAGACTCAGTTTAACCTCAGAAAATTACAATCTTGGGCATTCCATGGCACGAGCATTTCGAAGGCACTGTGCTTACAGTTCACAGGTTAAGTCATAGATTCTCTAGTGCTCCAGTAATATATAAAACAAGGTGATGAAGCACAATACAAAGATTTAGAGAAAAATAGAGAAAGAGAGAAAAAAAAAAGAGAAAAAATAATTGAAGTTTAGCTAAAAGAGTAAAAAGAGATGGAGGAGGAGGAAGAGGAGGAGAAATGATGGTTGAGAGAAAAAAAACACATTTTAAAAATTAAAAAATCTTGCTATGCAAAAGGTTGACTTTTTTCCCCCCTAAAACAGAGCATTGAACTGATGCAGATGCCGCTTGTAAGACAGATTTGTACACCAAGAACTACCACTACTACAAGAAAAGCAGGACCACATTGCAGACAACATAGCTGAGACACCCAGCATATAGGTGGTTGGTGGAGTACTGCAAGCAGCCTCAGTTGACATTGCTTAAGGTTATCAAAGCAATCCTGCAAAACTCACCAATATTATAAGAGACCGTGAAAAGCTACACAATCCACTCACTGCAGGCAATCAGGATTTATACCATGAATTCTCACACCCATTGCACTGAGGACATGGCAACCTGGGTGGTCTACAGCACTTTCTGCAGCACTTGCCCAGCTTTGACCCACACTGCTGGTTGACACAGCTCCCCAAGGTCCTCACCTTTCCCGAGCTCCAGCCATTTACACCTTGCCAAAGGCAACACAGAGCAAGATACGGCTTGATGTGCATCACATGTAGCCAATGATTCTGATTAATTCTTAATCACCCTTATAAGACCATTTTACAGCCCAGAAAACTGTCATATGCCTCCTCAACCTCCTCTTTCTTCTTCCCCCAGGAGAGAGAGAGAAAGCCAAGTGCTTTAGCCATTTATAATTTTTATGCTCTAATCTGAATTCTGTTCACCTAAGGTTTTCTTAAAATGTGCTACCCATTTTTTTTTTCAACTGAACCTTCCTCATGTAGAAAGCAATGATTCTGCTTCTTAATTCAAATCATATGGCAATATCTCCAATTGTCCTTTTTCTCTTTAATAAGATCATATTGCTGACTTCTATTTGTTTGCTGGTCTAGTGTAACCAAATCTTCTCCTATAGTAAAGCTAAGTAAGGAATTATTTCTTAAGTTTTAATGTTTGTCTGATTTTTATTTGATAGAGTCCTTTGCAGTCTTTACTGAATTTAACTTACTGACTTCACATGACTCCTTTAATTCAAGATCACTTAAGTTACTGCTGTCTTTCAAAGTATGTGAAAGTACTTTTAGCTGTTGTAAATCTACAGATTTAATGCTCATATTCTATCACTGCAATTAAGAAAAACAATGTATAAAACCAGGTCCAGCAGAGACCACAGCCTATCTCTGGCATATATTCTTGCATTGACTACAAGTATTGATAGCTGGTTTTTAAATGCATTTTTCAACTAGTTAACACCTAAAGATAATCATCATTTGTTTCAACACAATTTCAGCCAATTTCTTTAGATTTCAGGGTACATCCTCTTGAATATTTTGGATGTTTTTAAAAATCCTGGTAGCTGTTACAGCTCAGCAATGCCTGAAGGATCCTAGGCACTTCTCAAAAAACACAAACAGCTAGCCCCCCCTCAAAAATGGATGCTTTAAAAGCCTTGGTAAAATCGTTATTCAATAGTCTATGAACTTCCAAAGTATAAAGCACATCCTGCCTGAAAGTAAGTTTTTAAATATTATGAAGTTCTAAGAACAGGGAACAATATTCCTTGCTATGCAGTGTCTTGTCCTATAAATAAAGCAATTTCTTAATTTTAAAAATAATACATCTTTGGTCTTAGCTCTGTACTCTTCACAAATCTATGTTCTCTCAACAGTTAATGAGAAAATGCAAAATGTATGGACATTTCATTTAGTCTTTTTTCTAGGTTCCAGGCTAAACTCCTAGTGAAAATAAAAAAGTTATATTGAGTTTTATAACACAGTTTCTTTAAATGGTATCTTCCTTTGACAGCCTGAAAGCCCAAATAGGTCACCATTTCTTAATTAGGTGATTTGCTATGTGAAAGGACTACACACTACAGTCAGCAATTCTGAAAATAGCCTTTTTTGGAATCTGTATTTGTGTTACAGATTTTAATGCCTTTTAATGTAAAGCATGGCCAAAGGGCATTTCATGTATGGCTGAAACAGTTTATGTTGGGTGGGACATAGCTATACCAAGTCTCAACCAGCTGCTTAAAAGTGCTTAATTTTTCACTACTCACCATATGTAACCTGTTAACCCTGATCCACATTTAATCAATACATGGTTATTGGCCAAATTTCTTATGTTTAGTTTGGAATGTACTTTCTCCTGGTGTTTTCTTTTTTATTTTGTTTTTATTTGAGAGGTAGTATAGTTGTCTACCTGTACTGCCATGTGAAAAAACACTCTAATACATCACTCATGCCTTCTTGGTATTTTGGCCTCATGTAATAGAAAACAGTGGGTTTAAAATTTTTGAATTTTAGTTTTAATGTATACAATATGGAGAGCATGAACAGACTACTTTCTCAAGCTCCCTCATCAAGAGCAGGATTTCTTCTGGGTTGTTTATACTTCTTAGAAATTTTATCCTCTTCCTATCAGAATTAGTCATGACCGAAGTGAGCACAGTCCCACATGTATTTTATGGAGAAATAAAGTCTTGCAAAGAAACAGCAACAAAAAACACAAATCCAATTTGCTACTTATTCTGGCTCACAACTTCAATTCATGTTATTACAAATCAATTTCCAGATATGGCCATAGCATAACACTTACAGAAATTAATTAAATGGAAGAGATTCTGTCATATAATAGTCTGAAATCACTTCATCAAAGCATTTCAACTAGCACATGCAAAGAAAGGCTGTACATACATTAAAAAAAAAAACTCCCCAAAATCAGAGAAACTCTATTGAAAATATGCAGCAGCAAAATTGTAAAGAGTAAAAATCTAAAAATTCCAGATTATTCTATAATTTCTAACAGGAAATGGAAAAGTACTATCTGCTTATTCACGTAAGAATAACTCCAAACACAACAAAACGTACATTATTCTTAATTACACATGTTTTGAATTACAAACATATCTTACCTGGCATGCCAGCAGTCTGTGGAGTGGTCGTCTCTGTACTTAAGGAAAGGCGACCACCTTTGGCCAATCTTTCACAGAGGAGGGTGATGTGTTTCTTCAGCCTACTAGTATCTTTAGGTATGCATAACTCACTGGTCAGAGTCAGGGCCTGCTCCTTAGAGCTCTTTGACAAACAAGTTCTTAATAAGTAAGAAATGGCAGCATCCACGGTTTCTTCCCAGCCCTGGATTAAAGAAAGGATAAGGAGTTAAAATTATGTGAACTATAACGTGCCGCTTCATTCTAAAACAAGGAAACAAATCACAGACTTTCTTTCAAACAGCACTGATACATAAAACAGGGTTAAGAGAGAGGTAGAAAGGCACAGTTCTTGAGTGTGTATAAGCAAAAAAAAAAACCCCTAGTAAAGCTAGAAAAAAAAGTTCCAACATTACTAGGATCAGACTGAGAAATAAAATTTAAATTAAAATCATGGACAAGATGAGACAGAATTAAATTCCATGGATTTCTTAATAAGTAAAAAACGGGATTTCCTGGGTGTGACCTTTGGAATTCAAATGGAACTATGAACTTAATACAAACATTATAATACATATTCTATATTATATATATACACCTAGATATGGATATAAACATACTGAAGACATTAGGGCCAGGAAAAGAGGTATTCAATTATACGTCATAACGTCTATGAATTTTTTCTATGAGATACACATGAATTTTGTGATGAGTAAGACACTACTTTGGACAGTTAAAGAAACAAAAGACCATCCTTCCTGACTTTGATGTCAGGACCTAAGGATGAGTCCAAAAAAGATCCTAGTACTCACATCATAAGAGCTTCATCATGATACAAACAAATACTGTGCTTAATGAATCATACCCAGAAAATGTGCTTTATAAAATGTTTCAATTCGCAGAGGAACAGTAGCAACCACTAGAGTTTTCTTTTTCAACATTTGCCATTCCTCATTCAGAGTAGTGACCACCACAACTTATTGTCGTTTGTGTTTGTCCCTCCTCAAAAAAAAAAAAAAAAGGCAAATTTGGAAAATGATTCCAAGCAATCAAAGTTGCATAAACCATCCACTGACCTGTGATGATGGTAGGAAATAATCCATTCTGCAGTCAGTTTAAGGAGGTTCATGAGCTGGTAAACTGTCTACGTTCCCACATAGTGGGCAATAAAACTTAATATGTACAAGGCATCAAAACCACTCAAGCCAGTCTCTCCTTACTATACAACAAACCATGAGAAACAATACCACATAAGTTTGAGAATCTTGAGTTTCAATAAAAGACAAAGAAACACATAGTTAACTTGTGTCAGTATGCAGTGGCTGAAAAGCTGGCTAAAATATCCCTCCAAAAATTATAAAAATACAGGTGAAAGGAATATTTAAATATGGAGACTGAAATACAAACTAACAAAAGTCAGGAAATTAAAAGTGGCTAGTGTTCTGTCCTTGGCTCGCACAGGTATGTTTTACTTTGTACTACGGCCTTAACATTTTCCAACACTAGTTCTTGTATTTAACTTCCATGTAAAACTCTTTTTCTCAGCAGACCATAAAAGCATTTTCTCCAAACCAAGAACTGTTGACCTAACAGATCCACTCAAATCCAAAGCAGTCTTTATGATTAATCCAAGAGTACATAAAAGCTGCCTCTATATGAAAAATAAAAAAACTCTTGATGAAAAGGATGTTGAGCACCCAAATGAAAACTGGTAGCTTCAAAGACGACTGCCTTTGTCAGCAATTTTATTGGTGCAAGCTAGGGTAGATGAGAGGAAAAGACACAAGTTCTTCATCCTATTGTGTTAAAAGGGTAAAGATGTGTTCAAAAGTGTCACTGGTCTATAGCCCATACTGAAGACTGATTCTAGTCATAGCCGCAATACTCATTTCTGACTTTTTGTGTAGTATTCTCTGGGCTGAACGCAGCACTTTTGAGGCCCTTTTGAGGTGTGATAACAGCAACGCATTATAATTATGTTTTCTTAATTCTCTAATGAGAGGTGTTTTTTTTTTTCCCTTCGGACTCTAGCCACCTTCAGTCCCACCAGCCTCCTTTAATTCCCAGACATTCAGGCATCAAACTAACCAAAATATGTATTTCAAAAATTCTGTTTCCACAGAAGAGACACTAATTCCTCAGTTATGCCAAACGCAGCAGAGGTAAACTCCTACTGCTTGAATCGGAAATTCACTCTGGCTTTGCACATAATTACCCAGCTACCACCTAATTTTTAACGAATATTTACTTCATCAAAAATATGTTCATCATGGTAGCTGAGGCCAGAAAACTGCAGTCCAGCAAAATCTGGAAAACATGCCTAATTTGACATGTTCTACAGTCAGAAGTTTGTTAGTACTTAAGCACATGCTTAGGCTGGATGTGGTTATCATATTTCATCGCTCCAGGCCTCTAGGGAATGAGCAAGTAACATTAATTAAGTAGCATAATAAGAGCAGATAACCAGTTTACCTAGAGGGAATTAGCTTTCACTCAGCACCTGTGACATAGGAAAAGCTGGCTCAATAGTAGCAAAATGCCGAAGACTCAAACGGAAGAGCTCTGTGTTGTGAAGTTGGAATCTTTAACAAGCTCTTTATACATGGCATTGCAGCCCAACCGAAATATCACTTGTATTCTTCATTTTAACCAAGTCACCACAAGACTATTAAAGTAATACTTACTAAAGTATTAGGGGGAGGGAATTTGTGGGGGGACAGGGAGACAGGAAGGATTCTATATTTTAACTTGGATAATAACCACGGAAACTCAGTTTTGCCAAGCTGTAAGTCTTCTGATGTTTTTCCTCTCTGGAGATAAGAAATAATTGTAAGATTCTTTTTGAATGTAAACCATGGTTCACTCTGTGATGTTTAATATTTATATATATTATTATATATATATAATTTACTTATATCTATTTTATATTTATATTAAATATTTAATAAAAACTAGTATGTAATAAGTCACTAGAATTAAATATTACACTTGTTAAAATTAAGCTGATAAAAGCTTCTATAAGGCTGGCATTAACATATTTTGCCTTTTGCTTTGCTTTTATATATCAAAGATATTTTTATTTAGCTTGAACATGATTCTGCACCTACAAAGTTTGAAAAGAAATTAAGTTAATGAGTCAATAATATAGTATGCAAAAAAAAAAAAGCTACTTTGCTCTACATGACACTGGATTTGTGAGAGGGGAATACTTAAGAAACAGCAGAAACAGCAGATTGTTTTCAGTGATGGTTGAGAAGCTAATGTTGTCTCCCGAAAGTCAGCCTATGCCTAACACATAGATAGGCCTGGAATTTACTGGAATCTTCACCATGTTTTTTGACCCTGGTTGAAGACCTCTAAGCAGAAATGTTTGTTCAACAGATTGACAATAACAAAGACTTTTTCAGAGTCAGTTCAGTTCTTATAGTAGGTAATGCAGAAGAAGAGCATATTCTTAAAGAATGCTTAATAATGCAAGCCAGCTATGACACAGTATGATTACAAAATGGTTAAATATAGACTTTTTCATAACTGGTTTTCCATTAGACTGTTTAGTTTCCCTTCAGTTAAATCTGCTAGTTCCTTTTTAACAAACACAGTTACGGATGATCATAACGGAAAAAACTCACCATTTCAAGTGAAACCCACAAAAGTAAAGAAAAGTTCAAGTTGCACTTACAATTGTGTGCACACATTGCACATCACTCTAAACTGCAAGGATCCTGACTCCTATCCGGCATCAGAATTTAGAGATATAAAAGTAGCTCTAAGTCACCAGCTCCTCACTTATAATAATTCCTACACTACATCTAGAATATCTCAACCCATCATGTTGGGCATCTTTTTACATAAAATCATACAGCAACTATGTCAATACAGGATGTTCATTTGGATTCATACCCAAATCATCAGGCTTAAGACCTTTGGAGATTATTCTTTAAGTTACATGACCCTTTTACTGCTCATGGAACAAATCACTTTGTCCATAGAAGATTTCTATTTCTCATTTAATTTATAAAATATAAGCTGAGAAGACTTACTTAATTTCACCTCAACACTATGTATGTTTTTTGAAATTTTTAAGCAACAAAAGAGCTTCCATTAAAAAACACATCTTTTGAGTTTAATGCATACAGCTGCAAAAAAAAGGAAAATAAATCATAAATGCCTAGAGAAATCTAAATTTATAGTTGTGCTTGCTGATAAGTCTCTTCATATGCTTAAAGCTGAGTAAAATTCACTCAAAACCCCAAATATAAAATTATATTAGACAGGAAATTGCACCTTCTTTGTGGGAAGAATAGATTATGACACAATATTTCAGGAACAAGTTGTCAAGCTGGAGGATAACATGGGAATTGTTTCTAGAAGGGGAACGAACACACTACAGGGAGCTAAACTGGAGATATCAGCAGAAGGAAGTGGCTGCTGTAGGAGCTTGGAAATAGGAGCAGGGCTGGCAACATTCCAGGTAAGGGATGGGGCGGGCAACAAAGAAAGGGAAAGGAGAAAGAAACAAGTGGCTGTAGGGAGCCACTCAAGAGGTAAATTTGAGAAGTGCTGGTTTGCAGAATTAACAGAACTCTGGGAATTAAGAAAATTTAGTTGACAAGCTACACATTAATACCAGCTCTCCTGAGTGTAAACAGACTATTCTAAGGGCTATCCTATTCTATCAGTGAAATTTGAACAAGACAGTTCTTATATTGTGTTTACCAGGCAGAAGATATATCATCTTACGAAGTGAGAAAACTTTTATCACTCTTAATATTATTATGCCTAAAGCAAAAAAAAAAAAAAAATCGGTCTGACTATGAAAAAAATTATCTTGGAGTGACGGCCAGGACAGTACTCAAAGAACTCGGATGCAATGTGAAACGTACTGCAAAAACTATGCAACATTGCTGTAAGCCAAACTATGGGAATTCTTACAGCTGTTAACTCTGGAATTTGACTGTATACATGTTATTTCTTGATTTAAGTCCCAATAATGATTTTATCAAGTCTCAAAAATTCTAGGGTATGTGGAAACTCACCTGACTAAATGACAACCTTGGCCTTTATGATTATTCAAACCACACATTCCTGCACACACACGCGCACACACACACACACAAAAGAGATTTTTATACTTGAAAGCATTGTGTTAAGTTCTAAGAAACACCATCAATAGGTCTCAATTATTTGATTTTAGAGTGATTAAAG